TGAACAAATACATCACCTTTAAAGACTGGTGACGTGCCGCCTGCGTCTCCCCCAGGTTGCGAGCCCCTTGAGGACAGGGATGGATGTGTTGGAGTCACTACTGAATTCCCAGTGCCCAGCGTGACCTGGCACACAGAAGTACTTGGCAAATGGTGGCTGATGGGCGAGCCGGCTGGGATTCCATATGGCCCCTCTGCAGGGGACCCCCCCACCCCAGGCGTGATTCGGGGGAGAGGCCCAGAGATTGGGAGTGGAGCACGCCGGAGCAGCCTGGGAAGGGTCTGGCCACGAGGAAAGCAGCCCTCTGGTGGGGCAGACCCAGGACACCACCTCCCAGAGTGGACGATCCCCAGAAGAAGGCCCAGGTGTGCAGGTGCGTCCAGGCGTCCGGGCACCAATGGCAGCCCCCAGTCAAGGGCTGCATCCCTGGGCCACAGCAGAGGCCCCTCTGCGTACAGATGCTGATGTCCCCATGTCTCCGCATAGCTGGCAAGGGGACCAGGGAGACACTACCATGGCAACAGCCCTGGCAGTGCCACAGGGCTCATTGTAGGGCTTTCGCACCTCCGATGGGCTGAGGTGTGGGTCCCCAGCTCTGTGGCAATGCTGCCCTTCGAACCAATGCCTGCGCTGAGCAGCAGAAATGAGGGCCCTGGGCCCAACCAGGGACCTGCTGGGGCCACCTCTGCCATCAGCCCTGACTTAGGGCCACCCTCTCCTGTATCCCTCATCCTCCTGCCCAGCAAAGCAGTGGCCACTCCAGCCAGAACCCCAGGCGAGAGGGGTTGGCCGTACCTCGAACCAGAGCCGCAGCACGGAACAGCCCGCCTATCCCCCATCCATCGGGTGGAGAGGCAAAACCCGCTCCTCCCTGCTGGGGATCCCCCTGCAGTCACGACGTGAGCCAGCTGGGTGTGCGTGGGCATGGCTATGTCTTCAAAACACATCGCAGGGAGGCGGAAATGCAAGCGGCAGCAAGATGGGGACTGCCCTGCCATCAGGGCACACGGGCAGCAATACTCAGCGTTTTCTACAGGTACAGCAGATGAGCGCCAAATTTTAAAAATATAAAAGGTCCAGAAAGATACGTAACATAGCCCACAACTGCGACGGCACAGTGGGGTGGGGAGGACAGAACAGGACAGAAATGGGACCCTAGTTCCGTCCATTTTCTGAGTAGAATGGGTTATTTTCCCCGTGCTATCAAAAATACTTTAAAATTGAAATGCAAGGTCTTTGCTCCATCTGGCGCTCTCATCGTGAGGCCCCCGAGCGCCCCAACCCGCCCAGCGCCCACTGCCTGCTCTGGCGGTCCACAGCGCCTGCCCCCCGACAGGTGCGCGTCGCCCCCTCCTGCCTAGCTGGGGTCGCCAAACTCCAGCCCGTGAGGCGAGTCCCACCCACTGCCCGGTTTTATATAGCTCAAGAGCTAAAGATGGTTTTGCTTTTTAATGGCTTAAAATCAAAAGAAAGATGATATTTCACGACACATGAAAATTACATGAGGTTCAAATTTCAGGATCCCTAAGTACCATGTTGTTGGGACACACCCACGCCTGTTTGTTCACATCTCACCTGCAGCTGCCCTCCGCCCTGAAGGTGAAGTGGGGCCGTCGCAGGGCCCTAAAGCCTAACGCATTTCCAGTCTGGCCCTTTGCAGACAGTCTGCCACCCCTGGTCTGGACTGTGGGCTCCACAAGGGGAGGGGGTGGGGGGGCATGTGTATCCCGACATGGCGGCACACAGTAGGTGCTCAGTAAATCCTAAATCTGGCTGAATGAGTGGGTGGAGGCGTATATGGGGGAGCATGTTTCTTCTGCCTCCTAGAGAAAGTAACGCGCACCCCCCCCAACACCGCTTCCCCACCTCTTCCTGGGAGAGGGCACCACCTGCGATCCCAGGTGAACTCGGGTCCCGCTGAGCACTGGGAGAGGTACCCATGGGGCAGGCAGTGTCGTGTGCTCCAGTCCCTGGGGAAGAGAGGGCAGAGGGTGGTAAAGCCTGGATTTGGCAATAACAGGGTGGCCCCCAGATCTCTGGAATGGTGGCAGGGCCTCGCTTGGCCCTAGGGGTTGCTCCCAAGGACCCTACCCCCACAGCCCCTTCCTGCCGGCAGCCACTCAGCCTGCTGTGCTTGGGGCTGCAGTTTTAGTGCCCTCTGGTGGTCACTGGGAGTGGCTGCTTCCAAGGCACACGTGGCCTAGCCTTCCTGGCCATCTTCCCAGAGGGAACCCCAGCCTGGCCTCTACAATCCATCTGACCACCTCACCCAGAGATCCAAGAGCCCACCAGCTTGGGCTCCTGGCCCCTTCCAGTTCCTCCCCCTCTTCCTCTCTCCCTCTGGGGTAGCCTGGTGTCACAGGATGGCCTCCCACCAAGCTGATGGGGGAGCTGCTGGTAGATGAGGCAGCCCAGGGCTCCTGGGGACTCCCAGGCTGCCAGACAATCCCCACCCCTGCCACTACCAGTGTGCACCCTATCCTAACAGAGCAGGAGGGTGGCCTTGGTCCCCATGGCCCAGGGACCCACCCAGAGGGATGGGCAGGGGGCAGCCTTACAAGCTTCTTGCGTATCTGAAGAGGCTGCATTATCTGTGGGTAAGGGCCCCTTGGTGCAAAGAACTGCTCCAGGTTCTACTTTGGGGACAGGAAATTTGGCTCTAACCATGCCAAAACCTCATCTAGCAGTGATCATGTGTTTGTCACCACAACATGCTGCACCACTAGCAACTGTTCCATGTCTGCTGCCACCGAGAGACGGGGCTCTGGAAGGGCAGGAGCAAGTCTGAGTCTTCTCAGTAACTCCAGCCTCGGGCCAGAGCCTACTTGGGTGAATGATAGTAGACAGATGAATGGAGGATGGATGGATGGATGGACGGCATGGATGGAGGATGGGTGAGTGGGTGGGTAGATGCATGGAGGATGGGGGGGTGGGTGGATGGCATGGATGGAGGATGGCTGGGTGGGCGGGTGGATGGATGGATGGATGGGTGGGTGGATGGAGGGTGGGGGATGGATGGATGGAGGAGGAATGGGTAGAGGGATATCCTGTAGCAGGACTGAGCTCCAGAGAATACAACCTCTGGGTCCCCAGCCAAGGCCACAACCACTCCTCCCCATCAACCCATCCTGTCTTGTCAATCTTGTCTCCAAATATACCCTGGTTCCACTACTGCCCTGTATCCGTGCCCTCTGCCCCTCCCCCACTGCCCCCTCGCCAGCCACCCCAGGTCACCTCATGCGGAGCCCAGCCTGGCCTCACAACCTCTGTGGAAGCTGGTACCAAATCTAGATCACTGTGCCCACGAAGTGTCCCAGAGATGGTGTCCTGCCCCTCCTCCCAGGCTCCCACAGCCACATATCACTAACTGAAATGCCTGTTTGTCTTCTGTACCCCACCACAAGAATGCGGGGCCTTGCCCTTCTCTCTCCTCTCCCTCTCTACCCCCAAGCTGGTGCTTAGGTCCCAATGGGGAACGATTGCTCCACGACTGCCCTTCTGAGAACAGAGGTTTCACCCAATCTAGAAGCGGGGTGGTGTGGCACACGGCTGCAGCGAGGGGGTCGGATGGGTGTACCTCCCCCAAGCTGTGCACTCTGAGCCGCCTGCCTGCCCTCTCTGAGCACCAGTTTCCTCATCAGGAAAAGAAACCACCTCACAAGGGTGTTTGTTATGTGGCTTAGGGAGAAAATGAAAGCAAAAAGCATTTAAAATTAGAAAATGCAAGACATGCGCACAATATTGTGAGCTGAATTTATTGTCACATGTATAAACCACCCACAGCCAGTGCCTGCCAAGGGCCCCAGGACACTGTGCAGCCTCTGCCAGGGAGCCACGACACCTGCCCAGCTGGCACAGCACCCAGCAACCTGAATGCAGAGCAGCCAGGGCCCCCGTGACTGTCCCAGAGGGATCTATGGTGGCACAGGGGCCAAAGCCAGACCCTACACCCTTTGTTTGGTTTACAGAATTAGTTGCCAACAACTTAAAATCAGGATATTTCACATAACAATCTGTATTTCTGGCTTCTCCAGGTTTCTGCCATCAGACCTGCGTTCCCGTATCACAGCGATCAGCTACAACTGACTGTGGCAGCTGCCGCCTCAGAGGGGATCTGTGCTTCGCTGCCCCACGACACCCATCTCTCAAGGCGAGCTGCCACTGTCAACTAGATCGTGCAAGCGTTTCTCTCTCCAGTAACAGCTGGAAAGTCACAGAGAAGCGGCCGCCACTCAAAGGCCCACTCCCCCACGCACACAGCTGGGCCTGGGGCAGCCACGCCGCAGGCCTCTGTACCGCCCAGCCCAGCCAGGTGGGGCCGGGTCACTCTACACATACCCCTTCATGTGGCTGTTAAGAGGCAGAGCTGAGGGCACAGCCAGGCTTCCCCAGCCTGGGCCAATTCGCTCTTGAGGAATTTCGCAATTCCCTGAACCCCAAGCGCTAGAGAGCAGGGCAGGCACGCGGCCCTGCCGGGGCGAGGCTGCGGCAGGAAGGTCACCGGCCCGGGAGCGCTGGGCTGGCGCGCCCTCTGGTGGCCACTGGGCAGCTCTGCAGCCACGGGAAGATCTTGAACTTGATTCCTATGAGTCAGCCTTCCACTGCACCCCCCCGAAGCAGGCTCCCCCAGAGCCCCCACCTCAGCCACTCTCCTGGGTGCCCTGGCACCCACCTCAGTCCTCAGAAGGGCTGGACCTGTTCCAGGCTGCGCATGTTGGCAGGGCAGGGCCAGGCCAGGGCTCCGTGCCCTCTGCCCCTCCCCCACTGCCCCCTCGCCAGCCGCCCCAGGTCACCTCATGCGGAGCCCAGCCTGGCCTCACGACCTCTGTGGAAGCTGGTACCGAATCTAGATCACTGTGCCCACGAAGCGTCCCAGAGATGGTGCCCTGCCCCTCCTCCCAGGCTCCCACAGCCACACAGACGAGGGTCCCAACGGAGAGTTCTGCTGAGGCCTCACAGCTGGCAGAACCTCCAAGATGGTGGGCGTGAGCCAGTGGTTTTCAAAGTTTTGTTTATTTGAGCAGTTTCTAGCCATTATCATGTTTGCTCCTGAGAGGCAAGCAAGAGAGAGAAAACGCTGGGGCCCATTTCAGAGTCTGGGACACTGAGGCCAGCTCCTGGCAGGCTCAAGGCCACAGCCAGTAAAGAGAGCTCTGGGGCTGTGTGAGACAGCGGCCTGGGCAACAGCAGTCCGCACGAGCTGCCCCATAGTGCCTCGCACAGGGAAATGTGTCCCAGGGCTGGGCGGGGGATGCAGGAGGACACTGGCAGGCCCCCATAGCAGCACCTCCTGCCCCACCTGGCCTGCACCTCCGAGCGGCGCCCTTCCTAGTCCCCTCGAGAGCCCACCACCCCAACACCACCGAGATGGTGGCTCCCCTGTGTATGTGCATGAGTGTACACACACACACACACACACACACACACACACACACACACCATGCCCTCCATGCACACAGCTCCCGGACAAGCAGCCCGGGCAGAACCACAGAGGCTTCTCGGTCAGCAGGCAGCACAGGAGCCCGACGGGCCCCCCTTGGGGCTCGGGTTCAAGCAGGAATGCCTCCCGCAGCCTTGCCCGTCCATCAGGAGCACAGTAGGAGGGACGGGGCAGGGGGGTCCCCAGAGGCCTGTGGAGGCCAGGCATGTGGTCGTGGCTGGGGCAGCCTCACCAGTTGGCCTTCACTGCCTTGATGTCACTCACAAGGTTCTGGGCCAGGCAGATGCCAAAGATCTGTAAGATAGAGGGCAAGTGAGGGCAAGGTCAGGGCAGGCCCGGGCAAGGGCGGGGGCATCGGAGCCACGGCAGTACCTGGAGGAGGGCAATGCCCACAAAGACTCCGGCCACGACGATCAGGTTGTCCTGCAGCCACTTCTCAAACTGGCCCACGCAGCCTTTGGTGTGGATGAAGCCCTGCTGCTCCAGCTCCTAGGGACACGCAGGCACCAGACTCGGCCACCGGCCACTGCAGGCCTCCTCTCAGACCCGCTCCTTCCCTCCCCGGCTCGCCACGGCCCCGGGGCCTCCAGCTGAAGGCCCACGCCCCGGAGTGCTGCCACGGGGCCTCCGAGGAGCTGGCTCATGGGGTCTCAGCACGGACGCCCCTCCTCTGAGAGGCCGTCCCTGGCCACCCAGCCCCTCTCCCATCACCTCCCTTATCTTCTTCTAGGCTCTCGGCTGAAGTTGTCACCTGCCTGTCCACGTTTCTTCGCCTGAGCTACGGTCTGTCTCCCTCCACTCCTCGGGGGCAGAGACTCTGCTGTCTCCTCAGGGCTGGATCCCCAGTGCCTAGCGCAGTGCTGGGCACCTGGCAGTGCTCAGCAGAGTGGGAACGGGCACGCCCACCTACGCCCGGGCCACAGCACCACACCAGCCTGGGCGTCCGGCGGGCTCCCAGGGCTCGGCTGCCTCTCCCCAGAGTGCCTGAGGCCTCGCACAGGAGCAATGGGAGAGCCCTGCCGTCCCTTCCCAGTATCCCCAGCTGCCCCAGCCCTGTCCCCACCCTCTTACCAGTTTGAGCCGGACATCATAGCCACACTGGGTGTTGAGGACATCTTCCTGAGGGGAAACAGGCCAGTTAGCGACTTGGCGAGGGGGCATCCCACGGGGGCCCGTGGGGCCCAGGCACGGCGACAGCGTCTCCTTCTCAGAGGAAGCAGGTGGCACCGCGGCCTCTGTGCATCCACCGCTCTTAAACAAGGCTCCCAGAGGCCCGTGTGCCTCTTTCCCAGTCACCAAGGCACTGACTGCAAATGCCCGCTTGGGCCTGCCTCCTGTTTAGGGATCCTGCCTGCTGGAGTTTTATAAGAATGGGGAGAAACCTGGCCCTTGGCACCCAGATGAACTGTGACTGAAGAAGTGTCACTGTGAGAGGTTTCTGCAATGAAAAAATCCATAAAAGGGTCAGCGCCCCTCACCCCCTGCCACCCCAGCATGGTGGCACAGTGGGGTGGTCACTGGTGGTGGCCCAGGCAACCCCTGCCACATACACCCACGAATGAGAGGGACGCCAGCCCCTGGCCAACCTTCCAGCCGGCCAGGAGCAGACGTTTAGCTGGGAACACAGGGCGCAAGGAGGCCTCTGGGCCAGTCCCCATCCCCTGGGTCCTGCCATTTCTAAATCCCATAATCAGAGACAGGTCGTGCTCATCAGCGAGAGCAGCACCAGCTCCAACAGGCCTGTGCCTCCGTGTGAAAGGACTGCCCCAGCACCCACACCCCCAGGGCAGAGCTGAGCAGGGCCCTTGGGGGTCGGGGGGGACATGTCCCAGATGGGGTCTGACCATGGCAGCACCTCTACTCCTCTTCCCCCGGCCCCACTCACCGCAGGGTCCCTGACGCAACAGGAGAAGGGGACCCCACAGCGCTCCCGGCTGGGGTTCAAGTCAGTGCAGTTGAAGTAGATATTGAGGTTCCAGTCGTTGGGCCCTCGGGCTCCGCAGCAAGACCACTGGGGGGCAGGGGAGAGCCCTGGGTGAGCCAGGCCTACCCCGGGAACCTCACCCTCTCTGGGGACCAGCCCCAGCTGTAGGGAGACAGGGCTGTCTGGAGGGGACCTAGAGACAGCCAGGCAGGTGGGCACCACCCCCCCCCCCACAGCAGACAGGCCGGGCCTGGGCCCAGCCTCTGGCTGACAGAGGTCGAGGGGTGCTGGGAAGGGGTCCTGGGATTGCCCCCGACCCGGGAAGCTGGAAAAAGGGAGGGAAGGGGCCGAGGATACCGGTCGAGGACTGTGGCTTCCTCCGGCCCTCCCTGAGGGGTGGGTGCTGGGCCCAGCCCTGAGGGGTCAGATACCACTGAACCTGTGTCTGCACTGGGTGTCCCCACACTTGCTCAGAGCTTTTACAAAGACCTCTCTTCCTCAGTGCAGGGACAGGAGGGGACTCCTGCCCACCCCCTTCCCTGCCACCCCACAGCCAGCCCATGTACTTCCTATATGCCTGCTGGCATCAGCCCCTAGCCCCATCACCCCTACCCAAGATGTCCCGTGCTGCTCCCCGGGCAGGGGCCATGGCGATGACCCAAGGAGCTCACGGTCTAGTGAGGGGCATGGGGGCGGCCCACAGCTCAGGCTCAGGCAGGCCTGGGCCGTGAGTGGGGCGGAGCATAGCTCGGTCTGCACTTGCCTCCCTGCACCTGCTGGGCGCCAGCTGCTCCCACAGAACACTCTCCTCCCCCTCAGCCCCTGCTCCTCTTCCTCCTTTGGCCTCAAGGTCACCGCTCAGAGGCCTTCCTCTCTCCACCCTTCGTTTCAGCTCTTACCTCACCACAATTTATAGTTTTACGCGTGCACACACACACTGTCTGTCTGCTTATTTTTCATGTCTCTTTCCCAAATGCCATGCCCATGAGGACAGGTCTCAGTTTTTCACCACTGAGTCCCCAGCACACGGCCCAGGGCCTGGCACGCGGTAGGCCCATAACAATCCTGTGCTGAATGGTGAATGAATCACACATGACCCCCGGCAACATGTCTGGGCTGAGAGCTCCTCGAAGCAGGCGCCGGCTCTGGTTCACTTCTGGACCCCAGAGCTGACTCTCGGTGGTGAATGGCGCCAAAGGCCTGTGCCCGTATGTCGTGTGATCAGGCGTGACTGAGTGTGGGGCCGTGCGTGGGTGGGGCTGGGTGTCAGTGGGCAGGAACGTGCAGGTGGAAGGCATTTTGTGTTTCATGAGCTGTTGTCCACCTGCTTCCTCACAGGGCTTAGGTTTCCAAGCTTGAGGGCAGAGCTCCAGTCAGGGACCTCAAACTCTAGTGTGTACAGAGGCCAAACACAGAATATAAAAGAGAGAAAAGGGCTGACATGGAATAAAACACACAGTGCTGGGGACAGCAGCAGAGAGTCCCCTGTACTAGCCCAGCTGATATGGTGGGCTCAGGATCTAGTAGAAGGGGAAATGTATATTTTTATGTCAAATTTCCTCCACTTAGGTCGTGGCAAGGCCCAGCCTGGGAGCTGCCAGTTTGGAACCTCTGGCTTCTGTTTCCCAAGGCTGTGTTCCCACAGGGCCAGGAAAATGGGGACCCATGGGGATCGCCAGGGGCTGGCTCTCCTCAGACAGGGACACTCTTGGGTCTCCTCTCTGGAGCCTCCTGGCCTGGGAGATGGTCCCAGCACGCAGGGAACTTGCTCCCTCATTTGTCTGGCCAGCAGGTGCCTCCCACGTGTGGCCCGTGCTGGATGCTGGACTCACGTATTCCTGAGCAAAGTCGATGAGGTTCTGGAGGTCGATGTCGTCCCGGTAGGCCTTGACGTTGTTGTTGATGAAGAGGTTGAGCTGGTCTCGAATCCAGTCCTTGAAGACAAAGGCCAGGATCCCTGTTGCCAGCTCCAGGAAGAAGATGAGGCCGAGGAACACAGAAAACTGGGGTTGGGGCACACAGATGGCGGGGGTTGGAACGGCAGGGCTCTGGCAACCTCCTGAAGCCTGGGGGTGCCACAGGGAAGAGCTCCGCCCCCACCTCCACCAAGACCAAGGGAGCCCAGAGTCCCCTCCTTCTCTTACTGTGATATCGTTCTATGGTGGTAAAAGGCAGAGCTGTTCTTGCCTATCCATGCGTCCCCTTCGTCTGGTAATCACACCCTGCTTTCTTTGAAAAACCACCCTCCATGCAAACTTTTAGTTCCACCTCTCCCCACTCCCAGATACGGGAGGGGGTGTGCCACAAGCTCACCAATCAGAGCACTGCCTCCCCCTCCGCCGCCAGGGATTGGTCCAGAGACAGCCAATCAGAGCCAAGGGGATACAATTAAAGGAGAGAGGTGTCGGGAAGGGAGCCCTCCGCCTCCAGCAGAGCTCTTAGGAGCGCAGGGAGGCCAGCCCTGCTCCTGAGCCTCCTGCTACCCCTTGGGAATGGAGCCAACCCAGGGGGAACAAAGCTGAGAAACAGAGAGACCAGGCTGAATGACTCTGTGGTGGCCCCTAGATCAAAATGCACGTGTGGCCAGCACAACCCTGGGCTTTTCTTGTGTGAGCCAATAAATATCCTTTTATTAAGCCACTGGGTTTCAGTCATTTACTATGCCACAGAAAGGATCCTAATAAATATAGATAACACAAATCTAATAATAATTATCACCGTTGTTATTACACAATAATAAAGCTCCCCATTACTAAGCACCTATTACATTATGAGAACTAGTCAGTGCTTAGTCGGTTGATGGGAGGCACCCGGGGTCCCGGGGGATCTTGGAGGGGTGGGGGCACTCACAAACTTGAGCAGGAAGGTGTTCTCCCGGAGGGCCCCGATGCAGCCAGCAAAGCCCAGCACCGACATGACGCCTCCAACTACCACAAACAGCCACACAGGGTCAAGGCCTCCCAGATCTGTCAGCGCCGAGATGTTGGAGAGAACGCCCTGTGCCGGTGGGGGCAGAGGCAGGTGTGGGGGCCGACCTCCCCACCACCTTGCCCCATGGCAGCCCCACACTGCACCCACTGCCTTACCTTCTCACCCCAGGCCCAGAGGCCGATGGCCAGGAACAGGGCTCCCAGCACCTGCAAGGGCAGCAGTGAAGAGCTCAGGGCTGGGCACCAGCACCAGGACACTCGCTCCTCCCTCCCAGTGCTCCAGCCTTCAGGAAGCCGAGGAGAGTGCAAGAGGCACCAGGGCTATGAACAGGATCCAGGGTACTTTCCACCTTCCCAAGAACACATATCAGTGCTTCTTCCCCCCAGGACACAGCCTGGAGGACTGACCTTCCCCTAGGCTTGGGACAGACGTCAGGGGCCCCTTCCCAGAACACAAAACAGGAACAGACAGTGGCTGAGACACTCCTGCCAAGTAGCAGCAGCAGCATTCTGAGCCTCTGCTCTTGTCCCCCGCCTATGCTGGGGTTCCAGGCCCCTGGCCTTTCTGCCGCTCCCCAAGTCCAGCCCTCCTGCTGCCCTGTAGCCCTATGACTGTCACCCTATGCCCCTCAATGCCCCTCCCTGCCCTGTTCCACCACATTGTCCTCCATCTGCCAGAGTCAGTTTTGTGGCTCACAACCAAGCACTGCTGCATGATGAGCACTCTCAGCGCAGAACAGGGTCTGGCCGAGGGCCTCCGCCTGGGCCAGTGGCTTTGCCCTAGACGACACGTGGCCACAGCTCTGCTGGACCTCCTAAACACCAGCTACTGACTCCCCACCAGGGCAGCCTGAATGCCGCTCCACTGGCTTCATCGTTCCCAGCATCCTGCCTCAATTCCTTAGTGGGAAGAGCCCTACATGTCAAGGACGGCTACCCCTAGTGCCTGACCCTGGGCAGGTGCCTGTGTACCCAGTCTCAGGGTCGGAAAGGCCCCTCCCACTCAAGCCCAGGGCCATGACCCCCGCTCCTCAGGCCACCCCCATCTATCTGCTTTCTCTACAGGCTCCTTCCCCTCAGCATGCAGCCACAGTCAAGGCCTTTAAAGCCTTCCCTTCCCTGACCATGGGCTCCTCCCACTGCTATACTCTTCCTCTGGAAACAGTCTTCCCTTTCCTCCCCCATGCTGGGTCTGCTGATGTGAAACCAAACATCACTTCTCCTGCCTCATGCCACTTGACCTGTCCCAGGCCTTTAGACAGGGCACTGACTGCCACTTTCTCCTTCTTGAACCCCTCCTTGGTTAACTCAACCCCATCCCCTTCCCCAGGATGTTGCCTTCCCCTGCCGCTCCCTACAGGGCACTGCCCAGCTCAGTCAAACCTCTGCCTCCTCCCGCCCTTCCTCCTCACGCTCATTCGCCACCCCATCAAGACACCAGTGTCTCCTGATCTCCACTCAAACCTTGCACTAGTTCCATACCCCTAAGGCCACCTGCCTGCTGCAAACACATCCGTGTTCCCAGCACTGTTCTGTGCGCTGGAACAACTTTGGCGAATGGGACAGACAGGCTCTCCACCCTCACGGAGCTCCGCCCCAGCGGGGAGACAGACCGAGAAATTTCAGACACTAACAGATAGATCCTTTAAAGAAAATCAAACAGGGTGACACAACATGGAAGTGACTAGGGGTTGGGGGTGAGCTTTAGAAAGGGCAGCAGGGAGGGTGGTGGCATTTTAGCTGAGGTTTGAATGATGAAAAGGAACAGGAGGAAGGAGAGTATTCCAGGCAGAGAGACCAGCGAAGGCAGAGGCCCTGAGGTAACAGGACCATGTCTGATGGTGCGAGAACAAATTGAAGGGCGGCAGGGCCAGACCCCACAGGGCCGGAAGTCATGGGGAGGAGTCTGGACAGTATTCTAGTGCCACGAGAAACCACTAGCCAGTTCTGAGTGGAGCTGCACCAGGGTTTGCTTGACATTAAAACAAAAACATCTGTGGGCCTGTTTCACAGACCCGTCCCTTAGGCCACCTTGCCCCAAACCTGAAACCTCCCCCTACCTCCCCAAGTGGGCCAGCCCAGTCAACTCAGCCTCAGGACTTTCCCTGGAACCCTCCTTACTCTCCCCACCCCCACCATCCCAGCTTTGCCAAAGCCCTCCTCCCCGCCCCCCAACCTCTAGGCCCTGCCCCTCACCCGCCCTCCCGATGGCAGCCAGACAGTGCTGCCTCCAGTACAAAAGCCAGATCAGACCCATTACTCTGAAGCCCACACTGCTCAACGCTGCCTGACCATAAAACCCAAATGCTCAGCCCCAGGCCCCTGGCCTTCTAGCTCTAGCTCCTTATCCCTACTCCCCCGCTTGGAGCCCGGGAACAAACCTGGGCTCCAAGCGTGCTCCCCAGTGGCACTCAAGGTTACCTCTGCTCATTGCTCTGCTTCACCTCTACCCCCTGCCCACTAGGCTGTCACCTTGGCTCTGTACTTTCTAGCTGTGTGACCCTAGGTTTTAAATGACTCGACCTCTCTGTGCCTATTCCTTCAGTTTCCCCATCTGTAAAACCGTAGATAATAATAAGGCAGGCAGTGTGAGAATACAACAAATCAGAACTCATTTAATCTGCTTAACAGCCCTGAGGGGCAGACTTCTTCATCATCCCCACCCCCCCAGGCAAGAAAGCTGGGGCCCAGGGAGAGGTGACTTGCCCAGGGTCTCACAGCTAGGTCTGCTACACCCAGGCCTCCTGGCTTCCTCCCCAATGCTCCCAGCAACTTCCAGAGCTGAGCACTGCTGGTGAGAGGACACCCACCACACAGTAAGCTCGGTGGTGGCACGTGGGTATGGGGCAGGGCTGTGAGTCCTGCCGGAGACAGGTGGAAGGGCCCCTGGCATTTAGACCCAAGGCCTTGCAAGCAGAGACTGCAGAGGCCGCAGCTTTGGCAAGATGGAAAAGATGACTTGGCAGGGCCCAGATGCCACCCTGGGAGGGGCACCAGCAGCTCCCTTCTCTGAGCAGCGACAGCCCCGCCCTGAAGCCTCAGTTCTGACAGCTGTGGAATGTTGAATTCTGTTCCCCAGGGCCAGCTCCGAGGCTCTCAACGGAACGGGGGGGCATCCCTCCCCGCTGGTGAGTACTAGATATTGCCCCTCCCTGCCAGCCGGCCTCCTACTACCGGAATAGGGTGAGGGGAGGGCAGAAGCCAGGTGCTGGAGGGGCAAGGAGGCCGATGAGTGGGCCTGGCCCTTCCCTTCCAGCCAGAATCTCCTCCCTACCAACTAAACCAGGGGTGGGGCCTGGCGCACACCCCACCTCCCAGGGTAGCAAGGGGGCTGGGCAAGAGAAGGGGCGACCCGCACCTAGCATGCCCCCGGCGTCCTCAAGGAAGAACCTCCTCTTTCTCCACCGGGCCTCGGAGTTACACGCGGACACCCGCGCCGTAAGTGGGGACCCGCCCCCCAGCAATCCGGGCCTCTCCGTAGCTCCCTTGGGAAGCCCAGGGAGCCGCAGCAGGGGTGGGAGGAAGCAGTAGGAGGGACAGTCCGAGCCCTAAGCTCTCGAGGCAGGGATGGTCGCCCCCAGTAGGGGGCTGAAGCTCTCTCTCACGCCACCCCAAGCACGGGGCCCCGCGCAGACCCCCCGCTCACCCAGAAGACAATGTTGAAGCCAAACAGGAAGTACTTCCCGCAGCAGCCGACCTCGGGTTCCTGGAAGTGCTGGTGCTTGCCAGGCATGGTGAGCGGCCGCCCACCGGCCAGGGAACCGGAGCCGCGGCCCGGGCCCAGGCCCCCGCGGGCCGCCCTGGGCTGGAGCCGCCCGGGGCCTAGCCGGGCGGCTGCGGCTTCATGGCCGCGGCCACACAGAGCGCCGGTCGGGCCCCGCCCGCCCCGCAGGGACCGCCCTCGGCGTCCGGACCGCCTAGCCCGGAGCCCCGCTCGGTCCCCTCGGAGCCCCGCCCCCGGACCTGGCTCCGCCCCCGCAGCGCGGCTTAGTTCCCTCCGGGCTCCGCCTCCGCCGGCCGGCCCGGCCCCTCCTCCCGACTGTGCTCCTCCGGGTTCCTCCCCGCTCCCGCCAGGCTCCGGCCCCAGCCGGATCTCGTTCCCTCGGAGCCCCGCCCGTGGGTCCTTCCTAGACCCGCGGGAGACGCCTGCTGCTGGTGCGCAAGACCGGCCCGGAGAAACCCCACTTCGTCCAGCCCCGCAAGGCTCAGTGCCAGCCACCCCGGGCCCGGCCGGCTGTTGGAGCCCATCCCGCGGAAGAGTGACTGCTCCGGTGAACTGGTGGGGATGGTGGTCGGGATGGAACTGAGCACGCGTGCAGGACCCTTCCTTACAGGGGAGTCGAGTCGGAGGCGCTCTTCACACTCTTCCTGTACCGGCTCAAACTCAGGCCAGACGAGGACCTGGGTCTCGTGGGGACCACTCCTGCTGCTCTCTGCCCCTTCAGTCTTGCTAGGGGCACATGCCCCAGCCCCTGGCTCAAACCCCCTTGGTGGTTGCAGTCCCCCAGCCATACCCTTCTCCCCTCTACCAGCTTGGGCCCTGATCCGGCTCCTTAGTACCCAGGAATCTCACACGAGCCCCTTCAAGGCAGGACAGTGGCAGATCGAGGTTTAGGGGAGCCCTCCCTAAAAACAATTCCAATTTTGTTCAGAAGTATTTATTTAGAACAAGAACAAAGGTGCTTAAGCTTCATCACGTTAGTCCACCTCTACCAGGACTATGGTGCAGCCTAGACCCCATCACCCCTCTTCTGGGGGTGGAGGCTCATCCACCCACTTCCATGTCAGTCTGGCCCTGAGTCAAGCAAGACACAGACACCCCTGGCCATAGAGGACAAGGCGAGAAGCCAGGCAGGGCTCCTCACGTAGCGCTCTGTGCAAATGATGGCTCTGCCTCAAACCCCCCAGCCTCAGGCCAGGGCCCCAGCCCCAGCACACACACACTCACACTGGTGCGGGTGAGTGTTTGGGTTGTCACAGGGTGAGCCCGAACAGGATCCAAGGTGAGTGCTGAAGCTGTAAGTCTGAGGAGAGGCAACCTTTAAAGGTTTTTAGGCAGAGGGGTCACAAAGAAGCACCCCCATCTTTGAACTCCACCCCTTGGAGTGTTAGTGGCCTCGAGCCCCCTCCCCTTCGTTGGAAGAGCCTGGCCTGCAAGCCACCTAGCCACCTTCCCAAGCAGGCACAGAGTTTAAGTGCTGGTCCCCTCCGTCCCCCATGACTCACCCACACCCAGCTGAAACAAGGAACCCCAGGAGTTCCCTCCACCCCGTCCATCGTGTGGCTCCAGGAAAAGCTAGGCCCTCAGACTGCTGCCACCACTGCACTCCTAAGCCTGGGCCCCAATTTATGTTAAAACGTACATATTTCTGTTCACTTGACTGGTAAGAACCAGGCTGTCTACCCCCACGTCTTGCTCCCCACGCAGCAGTAAGAAGCTTAGGTGATGACTGTCCCACTAAACAGGAGGGGTGCCAAGGCCCCTTCACACCACCAACTTGTTCTTGGTTAGGGAGTTGCTCTTGGCGGCGGTGTCTGCGTGGGCCTGGTACCCAATGACGGTCTTTGCGGAGAGGCCCAGGCGCTCTTTGTACACACGCCTGGATGGGAGCGCACAGGGGACGGGAGACACAAGTAGTCAGCAAAGGGTGTCCTTTGCCCACCAAACTCCTGCCCTCATTCCAGCCCCAGCCCCTCTTGTTTTGTACCTTACCCATGTGGAAACCCAAAACATGACTAACACAAAAGGAGAGTTCTACTGCTAGAAATAGCTGGAAGTCTAGATTCCAAACCCCTTTTATACGGATGAGGAATGAAGAAGGGGAAGATGGTATGCAGAGATCCAGAGGTCTCCCTTGCAAGCCAAGCCACCGCCCCACCTTCCCCCAGAAGAGCCTCAGCCCCCACCCTGTGCCAGAGAGCCCCTCACCCGATGTGCAGGACAGCCGCCTGGTTTTCCGCCTCCCTCGTCCACACAGCGATCTTGTCCCCCTTGGCGCGGATGCTGATGACGGCCCCGCACACCTCACTGCTGTGTTCCTCAAAGCTCTCCCCTATCAGACACAGCAGCTGGGCCGAGGGGTGGGGGTGGGTTGGTGAGTCCTGGGGCACAGAGACTGCCCCCGTCCTTGAGACCACTCCCACCATGAGACCTGCCCCAGTTCCTTCCCCTCCCCCACTCACTGTCTCCAGCCACAGCTGGTCCAGCTCACTGTGGCGCTGCTGCTTGGCCAGGCTGACCAGCCAGCGGCCACCCCGCCTATTCCTGCTGTCTTCCCACGTGGGCTCGATGCCATCCTGTGAGGTAGATGGCAAATCAACTGCCACCCTTTGTTCAAAGAGAAGTGGGGACCCAGCTACCTTCCCAGTCTAAATAGGCCAGGTTCTCTCTTACCTTCCTCGCTCTGCACAAGCAGGTCCCACCATCGACCGCCCAGCCCACCACACAGATGCTCTTCTGAACTCCCACAGGGCCCTGAGCCTCAATACTGGCCACCTACTATAGCCGTGTGTGTGCTTGTGTCCTTTACCGACCCGAGTTCCTTGAGACACAAGTTCAAATGGGGGTACGTCAGACCCCAAGGTGGGCAAGGGTAGACATCCCGGGCTTAGCTGCATGTTCCCCATACGTTGCTGGGCAGAAGTCACCTGGGAAATCTTTAAAACTAAGGTGAGCACCTCTAAACATGGGTGTGGACATCGAGGAGCGTCCTGGTGAAGGAGCCAGGCCGGAAACCTGGGCTCCTTCCTTAGCCTCTTCCCACTTCCCCTTCCCCACTCAAATGGCCTTGGAGGGGCAGCTGGCTCAGGCCTGACGGGCTCCGTCTGGGCTTCTGTGCAGCCTTTCCCCCAACCGGAAGTCACATCTGGGCTCAGAGAGGCTGTCTGTGGCACCCACGCCCTCTGTGAGGGATTAATGCAGCCGCTGCCAGGAAGGATCGGCCCCCTGTGGGCGTGGGGGAGGAAAGGGGAGAGCGGAGCTTGCCTTGAACAGGGCGTAGTCACAGCCAGAAGAGAGCTTGCTGGCCAGCTTGACATGACGGTACAACCTGGAGAGAGCCCCCCACCCCATGGTGAAAGTCAAGGCTTTTTAAGGCCTGGTTGCAGCTGGCCTCAGCCACCCCAGTCCTCACCAGACCCCAGCTTCCCACCCACCTTCAGGCCTCGGGCCTCCAAGCCTTTGCCTATGCTGGCCTGCCACCTGGGATCCGCCCCACCTACCCAAGCCCTCTGGTCCCCCTTCTCCTTGGATCCCTCACAGTGAAGCCTGAGCCCCTTGGGCACCCTCCTGCTATAGCCCCAGGCCCTCTCATGCTCCCCCAGGGCCTGTGCAGCCCTTTTCTCTACCCCTGCCTGGAGCACCCAGGACATCCTCACTTTGTGCCTGAGACGGTTTCAGAGAGGGGAAGGAGCTTGCCCAGGTCACAAAGCCATGGAGTGGCAGAGTTGGCGGCCAACTTCCCGCTCCTCCCCCTCACTAGGCTCTCTCCTATGCCCTAGAAGGTGGTGAGGGGCGGCTGTGACCCAACCCCAGTGCCCTCTGAGCAGCACCCACCAGCCCCAGCCCTCGGGCAGTGTTCAAAGGCCCCAGGGAAGAGGGGCAAGGCTGTGTAGGAAGCAAGCTCCCTAGAAGGAGTCAGGCTTTGGCCCATCCCACCCTCCTAGGGTCAGACACTTACGCCCAGAAGTCCTCCACGGTGTCAACCTTGGTGAGCAGTTGTAGGTTGTCCCGCCAGGCCCGGCTGCGGTCATTCTTTAAGAACCACAGGGCCCACCTAGCGGGGTGGGGGAGGTGGCCAGGAAGCAGAGAGCCTCCCATGTCCACCCCCAGCAGCACCTGGGCTGACAGGGAGGTCCCACCCTTTCAAGGGCAAACTGGGAGATGGGATTCGGGGCACAGACTCCTCCCAAGTGTCTAAGTTATCCAGCAGGGCCAGGGCAGGAATGGGGGTGTTAACCCAGAAGGGCCAACAGGACCCAAGGCTCAGGCCAGCTCTGGCCTCTCACGGAAGAGGAGCTAGGGCCCAATAGAGGAAAGGGTCATCCAAGGCCACACTGCCAGCCAGCACGGGCCGGCCTGATAGCAGGGATCTGTGTTCAGCTTGTAGCCCCCTGCCTACCTGTTCTGCAGGGGGTGCAGCTCGGGCTTGACCTCCGCAGGGCCCTCAGCCCGGGCCTTGCCCGCAAGAGGCAGGTTGGGAGAGCTCGGAGCCTCATTTCCTGCAGCCGCCACTGCTGTCTCCTCCTCCTCCTCTTCTTCCTTTTCCTGTCCCTCCTTCTCCTTGTCCCACGTTTGGATTCCACCCTCAGCTTCACTCACCTGACCAAAGAAAGGAGTCAAGGTGGGCTGTGAGCCTGGCCCCAGCTGTCCCCAGGTGGACTTACAGGGCCGGCGGTAGCCATGCCGGGCTCAAACTCCGTGGAGGACTTGGCACTGAGGCCCCAGCTGCCAGCTTTTAACCCACCAGCACCCGCCCCCACTTGCTTAGGGCAGGTGAGGGGGAGAAGCTCAGAGGTGGAGAGGCTAACCAGGTTCTTGCCATCAGCAAGCATTTAGTGAGTGCCTTCTGCATGCAGGCCCGGGGCTGGGGATACAGCTGTGGCCAGGCAAACTTAGCCCCACGCAGTGGGGGCCCAAAGGTAAGAGTCAATATCTGGGGTCTGCATCCCAGTAGGGTAGCTCCTGAATGAAAGTGGACTGCCCCGCAGATGGCAGAAGGCAGGCATTTACCTGGTCTCTGGAAGAGTCTGAGTTTTTAGAAATTTTAATCATTTGCTACATTTCGACACAGGGAGTTTCATGTTAAATTCCACATTTTTGGTTTCTCTTGAGGTCTGGCACCACTGGGCCCCCTGCTTCCCAGCTGCACTGTCCGCTGTGGCAGAGGTCGCCCTTGGGAAGGCACATGTGGCTCCACACAGCCCCTGTGTTACCTCTGGCCCCAGCTGAGTGTTCTCTGCCTGGCATGGATGGCAAGGGGCAGTGCCACAGTCACACAACACAGGTGCAAATCCTGGCCTACCCTGACTTCAGGCAACTTACTGAACCTCAGTGAGCCTCAGTTTCCCTATCTGTAAAATGGGAATATTAATCATATACAACTCAGGAGCTGGTTGTGAGTATTAAATGCCATAAAACACATAAAGTCCATAGAACAAGGCTTGCCTGGGTGCTCAATAGAAGGCAGCTGGGGGCTCCCCAGGGTGGAAAGGACAGGGAAGGGGAAGGAAGAGGAGGAGCCCTGGCCCTGGACACCTTTTCCCAGCCTGCTGATCAGCCTCTTCTCTGCAGGTGCTGAAGCCTCCCAGAGTTCTTTCAAGTTTTGCATCTGCCCCTCAGCCACTTTTAGGGTCCCAGACCTGAAAAAGGACCTGCTCCTTCCCCATACCTGGGGCACCCCCACACCATCTGCAGGCTGACAGTCAAATCTGTGCCACCCACACCGTTAAGCCCCTGGAATGTGCGAGGCCCAGGGCTAGGTGCTGGGATGCAACGATGACCAAACATGAGCAGCCCCTGTGCTTGGGTATATGGGCAGCTGGACATTGATCGGTCTCACAAAGACCTGTGTCATCGCAAACACAAACCTGTGAACTCAGGGATGGGAGAAGATAACAAAGTCCATGACGTCGACCGAGGGCTTTAGAGCAGCGTTCTCAAGTGCCTGGATCAGAATCACCTGCAGGGCTTGTTAATCACAGACTGCTGGGCCCTGTCCCAGAGTTTCTGACCCCTCACTTCTGGGCTTGGGCCTGAGGATATTTGCATTTCTAACAAGTTCTCAGACGATCTGGTCAGGCACCCCATTTTCAGAACCCCTGGGTTAGAAGCAGTTCACTGAAGAGGTGATATCTGAGCTGAGACCTAAGGCATGAGCGAGAAATAACTGGGAGGGTGGGGGAGGGCATCTCAGTGAGGGACCAGGATGTGCAAAGGCCTTGAGGCAGAGCCACGTAGGTACTGGAGGAAGAGGAGACAGATCAGTGTGGCCGAAGCCCAAAGGGGAAAGCGGTCCCAGGGGCAGCGGTGAGCACCGAGCACTGCAAGCGAGCACAGACTGGCTCGGGAGGTGATCGGATATGCTTTCCAGCAAGTTCTCTGGACTGCTGTGTAGGAAACAACCCTGTGGCTTCAAGAGTGTGTGGAAGCACATCGATCAGGATGCTGATGTGGTTGTCTAGGGGACAAATGGGGTGGCAGAGAAGATCGTGGATTTAAGAGGAATTTAGAAGGAAACCCCACGATATTTGGTGGTAGATCGGCCCTGGGGAAGTGACGCATGGCGTTCCAGTTATCTATTGCCGTGTAACGAACCACCTCAAACTTAGTGGCTTAAAACTATAATAATCATGTATTTTGCTCACAAATCTGCGACTTGGGCAGTGTTCAGTAGGGACAGCCCATCTCCACTCCAAAGCAAGGTCAGCTGGGGTGGCTGACCGGTTGGGGCTGGCGCCCTCTGGTCACTCACAGGTGGGGCAGCTGATGCTGGCTGTGACCTGAGTCGCAGCTGTGGGTGTGGCCTGTTCAGCTGTGGGTGTGGCCTGTTCATGTGGCTGCCTGGCTTCCTCACAGCATGGTGCCGGGTTCTCAGGCCGAGCATCCCAAGAGATGGGAAGCGGAAGCTGCCAGTTTCTGAAGGCCCGGGCCTGACACCTGGCCCAGCGCAGACCCACCACATTCTACTAGAGTCACAGGCCCAAATCCAAAACAGGGGACATAATCCCACTTCTCAATGGGCGAAACATCAAAGAATTTTGGACAGAGGGAGCACTGGCAGGATGACCAGGCTTGCGGAGAGATCCTGAATCTAGATTTGATGGAGAAAAGGGGAGGAAGGACTCCCCCCAGTACTGGGCATGGCCTTAGCTGCCTTAGAGGCCTGGTCCACAGCCTGGCACGGAATGACCCTCCTGGCTACAGCGCCCCTTCCCACCGCCTTCCACATCTTCCAGCCTGGGGCAGCCCCTGGAGTCTGGGATTGGGGTGACTAGGGGAGACCCTAAGAGCAAACTCCCTGGCCCTACTGGAGTTCTGGCCCCTACGTGAGGCCCCCAAGTCTGCCTGGGGGGGACATCTTCACTGTGGGATTGAACAAGCAGGGGCTCTTGAATCCCACCCCTGCCATTCTGTTCCTAAAATATCTTGAATCTGCCCATTCCTCTCCCTCCCTACTCCCCCCACCCCAGGCAAGCCTGCTCTGGCCTTGGCCACTGCATGAGTCTTTCCTAACATTCTCCTTGCCTGCACTCTGCCCCCTACAGAATGTTCTCCACACACCTCAGATGGATCATCTATTAATAAAATATGTATCTGATCACTTACCTCCTCTGTTTAACACCCTCCAGGACACCCACAATGTGATCCAAAGTCCAGGCTCTGAGCTTGCAAGTTCCTGGGTGATCCAGCCTCACAGCACCCTGCACACACTGATCCTCCAAAGGCCAGCTTCATTCCTACCTCAGGACCTTTGCACCTGTGGTTCCCTCTGCTACTCTTTACGTGACCGACTTCTTGTTCTTCAGGACTTGGCTCAAATATCACCTTCTCAGAGGTTGTCCCTGACCACACTATCTAAAGAAGACAACTATCCCTCATAGGCTAACTCATCACACTGGTTTATTTCCTTCTTAGCACTTAGCACTACTCATTCCTTGATTCAGTCAGCTATTCATTCAACACATGCTGACCTATCAGTTACTTTGTGCCAGGCATGGTTTTAGGCTCTGGGGAGCACAGCTGTCAACAGAATTGATGGTTCTTCTTCTTTACTTCAGAAAGTCCCAGGAATAAGCCATGGGACCTCCTCTCTGTTCTGTTAACACTTGCTATTTCGTGCCCTCACCCAGTCGTGGGCATTAGGTGTCACTAATACAGTGATGCCTGCCCCCCACCTAAAATCCAGAAGAGCATATCCAACTACTTAATGTGCATCTCAGAGTTATCACATCCGATGCTGAATTTCTGACACCTCACCACCCAGCCCCAGGCTTGCTCTTCCCATGGTCTTCTCCATCCTTCTAATTGCTCAGCCAAAAACTCTGGAATGGTCCTGGACCCCCTTCTTTCTAACCCATCAGCACATGCTATCTTCAGTTCCACCTTCAAAACATACCCAGGACCCCACCACTTCTCTTCATCTCCATTGCCACCACCCCAGCCCAAGTGACGCTCACCTTTCCTGAACGGGTCTCCAGGTTTCACCCTTGTCCAAGAATGGTCTACCGCCTACATAGCAGCCGGTAAAATGAAAGTTGGATCACGTTGCTCCTCTGTGCACAGTACGAGGGTCTACAAGGACCCTTCGTCCCTGTGGCCTTCCTCTCCTTCCCCCCGCTCCAGCCACAGTGGCCTTCAGTCACACAGGTCTTTCAACATGCTGGCAGGCTCCTGCCTGCCCGCCAGGTGTCCCTGGCTTCCTCACCTCACTCAGGGACTGCCTCCTTGTGTCCTATTTAACTGTCCCGCTCAGCCTCACCCCAGCGATTCCTGTGTCTTCCTGCCCTTCACTCCCCCCAGCATTTGTCACCTCCCGACACACGTATATCTTACTAATCTATTTCACTTATTGTCTGCCTTCCTCTACCAAGATATGAGGTCCCCAAGGCCTCTTTCGTTCCCAGCTGTGTCCCCAGTGCCTACAGCAGCGCCTGGCTCCCAGGAACTTCTCGGAAGTCAGGATGAGGAGGGAGAATTGGCCATGATATTTAGCAAGGTGAATGTCACTGAAGACTTTGACAAGAGGAGCACAATCCGAAGCATCTTATGTGGTAACCAGCTCACTTGTTAATTGTCTGTCCCATCCCACTGGAATGTTAGGTTCCAGAAGAGAAAGGGCTTCATCGGCCTTGTTTCCTGCTGCATCTCCTGCATCTAGAATGCTGTCTGGCACCCAGCAGGCACCCAGGCAAAACTGATTGAAAAGAACAAATGCCAAGGACTTCCCCTCTCTGGGTGTCAGTTTCCTCCTTTGTAAAATGGGAACGAAAATGCCTGCTTCGAAGGATTGCTCTGAGGACTTAACGATATACTGGAGAGTGCCTGGCACACAGAAGGTACTCGGTAAATGCCGCCATCCCCCTCCCTGTCCTCAGCTCGCATCCTGCCTTCCCTGCAGGGAGCCTGCCCACCCTGAGGCCTCTGGACAGCAGTAACGTTGCTGAATGGTTAATCACACTGTCAGGCGCCACACGGAATTATGAAGGCACATCTGGAGTTTTGCAGAACCCAGGCAGGGCTGGGATCCCCCAGATCCGCTTAAGAGAACTCTCTGCTCCAGCTGCCCCCACTGGGATTTCCTCCAAAACCCTTCCCCGCAGTCTGCCACCTTCCCTCCCCTGAAGCTGCCATGGTCACTCTCCTTAGTGAATTCTAGGGGGAGGAAAGGGAAGAGCAGAACAGA